GCAGCACCCAGCGGCACCCACCGCGGCACCCGCCACGGCACCCAGCGGCACCCACCGCGGCACCCGCCACGGCACCCACCGCAGCACCCAGCGTCACCCACCGCGGCACCCGCCACAGCACCCAGCGGCACCCGCCACGGCACCCACTGCAGCACCCAGCGTCACCCACCACGGCACCCAGTATCACCCACCATGGTAGCCGCCGCAGCACCCAGGGTCACCCGCTGTGGCACCCACCATGATACCCAGTGTCACCCACCATGGCACCCGCCGCGGCACTCACCATGGCACCCGCCATAGCACCCAGTGTCACCCACCAGGTCAACCAAGTATCCCCCGCTGCAGCACCCAGTGTCACCCACCACGGCACCCACCATGGCACCCACTGCAGCACCCAGTGTCACCCGCCATGGCACTGAGAGTCACCCACCGTGGCACCCACCACGGCACCTGAGTGTCACCCACCAGGTCACTTGAGTGTCACCTGCCGCGGCACCCACCATGGCACCGAGTGTCACCCGCCAGGTCACCCCAGTTGTCACCCACCACAGCACCCAAATGTCACCCGCCACGGCACCCGCCACAACACCCCAGTGTCACCCACCACAACACCCGAGTGTTACCCACCATGGCACCCCAGTGTCACCCACCATGGCACCCCAGCGTCACCCGCGGTGTCACCCGCGGTGGCCTCACCCGAACGCGTCCAGCTGCAGGTCGGGCACGCAGACGTTGTCCTCGCCGCAGTCCAGCTGGATGTGAGCCTGGCACGGGGGACACCATGGGTGACACCGTGGGTGACACCGCGGGTGACGCCGGGTGGTGCCACCCCCGGGCCCCTGCAGGGCTGCGTGGCACCGGGTGCCACCAGGTTGGGTGGCCCTGGGCTGGGTCATGGCACCCTGGGGAGCACTGGGTGCCACCAGGTGGCACTGGGTAACTCCAGGTGACACCCTGGGTTCCCCTGGGTGGCACCAGGGCTGCAAGAGGGTGCTGGGTGGCACCAGATGGGTGGCAAAGGGGGGCGCCAGGCTGTGTTGGGTGACACTGGGTGGCTCCGTGAGGACAGCCCTGCTCCGGGTGGCACCGTGATGGTGCACGAGGGGACACCTTGGTGACCAGGTGGCATCATGGTGGCCAAGTTGCACCAGGTGGGACCATGGTGACCAGGGGGCACCGGGTGGCACCACGATGACCAGGTTGTACCACAGTGACCAGGTGGCATAAGGTGACACCACAATGACCAGGTGACACCAGCAGGCACCACAGTCACCAGGCTGCACCAGGTGACACTACAATGACCAAGTGGCACCAGGTGGCACCACAGGGACCAGGTGGCACAAAGTGACACCACGATGACGAAGTGGCACCAGGTGGCACCACAGTGACCAGGACGCACAAGATGATGCCATGATGACCAAGTGGCACCAGATGGCACCACGATGACCAGGTTGCACAGGTGGCACCACAGTCACCAGGTTACATTAACTGATACCACGATGACCAGGTGGTACCAGGTGGCACCAGGATGACCAGGTGGCACCAGGTGACACCACAGCGGCCAAGGTGACACCATGATGACCAGGTGGCACCAGGTGACACTACAATGACCAGGTGGCACGAGGTGACACCAGGATGACCAGGTGGCACGAGGTGACACCACGAGGACCAGGCGGCACCAGGTGGCACCAGAATGACCAAGTGGCACCAGGCGGTACCATGGCACCCAAGGCCCCACCACGAGGGCCCCCAAGGCCCCCGCGTGTCCCCCACGCACCCTGGGGACCCCGGCGGGTGGCACTACCTTCTGCTCGATGCGGGTGCGCGCCCGGTAGTCCAGGACGGGGCGCAGGCCGTGCCGGTCGGCGGGTGCCAGCGGGTCCAGCCCGAAGCTCAGGGCCACCACGATGGGTGACAGCTTGTCCCGGAACTCCGTCTCGTTCTGGGGGGACGCGGTGCCCAAAGGGGGTCCCCACGGTGCCCAAAGGGGGTCCCCATGGTGCCCAAAGGGGGGTGTCCCCAGGGTGCCCAAGGGGGGGTCCCCGCAGCGCCCAAAGGGGGTCCCTGCGGTGCCCAAAGGGGGGGGGGTCCCCACGGTGCCCAAGGGGGGTCCCCGCGGTGCTCAAAGGGGGGGTCCCTGCAATGCCATGAGGGTCCCCATGGTGCCCAAAGGGAGGGGTCCCCGCAGCGCCCAAAGGGGGTCCCCGTGGTGCCCAAGGAGGGGGGGTCTCCATGGTGCCCAAGGAGGGTCCCCATGGTGCCCAAAGGGGGTCCCCATGGTGCCATGGGGGTCCTCATGGTGCCCAAAGGGGGGGTCCCCATGGTGCCCAAAGGGGGTCCCTGTGGTGCCCAAGGTGGGGGTCCCTGTGGCGCCACACGGGGGGTCCCCATGGTGTCCAAGGGGGGGTCCTCACAGTGCCCAAAGTGGGGGTCCCTGTGGTGCCCAAGGGGGGTCCCCGCGGCACCCAGAGCGGGGTCCCCGCGCGGCGCGGGGCTCACCCGCAGGTAGACGCGCAGGTCGCGGCAGCGGGCGCCGGCGCCGTTGGGGACGTCGAGGGCCAGCGCCAGCGCCGGGCGGCGCCCGCTCACGAACAGCGCCCGCTTCACCGCGCCCTTGCCCTTCAGCCCGTCCAGGCTGAGCTCCACGGCGAAGCCTGCGGGTGCCAGGGGCCCAGGCGTCCGGCACGGGGCCCAGGGTGCCCGGCACGGGGCTGGGGTGCCCAGCAGGGGCCCAGGCGTCCGGCACGGGGCCCAGGGTGCCCGTCACGGGGCTGGGGTGCCCGGCAGGGGCCCAGGCGTCCGGCACGGGGCCCAGGGTGCCCGGCACGGGGCTGGGGTGCCCGGCAGGGGCCCAGGCGTCCGGGCAGCCCCGCACTCACCGATGGAGCTGGGCAGGTGTCTCCCCGAGGCGTTGAGGCAGAAGCTCAGGTTGATGCTGGGGGGTGGCAGGGGACAGGGTGGGTGACAGGGACGTCCCCCCGTGCCCCCCGCACTGTCCCCTCCCCGTGTCCTCCCACCTTGGGGTCCCCAGCCCTTCTGTCCCCCCCTCCCGCAATGTCGCCCCCCTGGGTGTCCCCAACACCCCCCAGACCCTCCGGGTGCTCCCTGGGTGCCCTGAGCCCTGGGGACCCCCCCGACCTTGTTCCCAGGGGTCCCCCCTGTGTCACCGACCCCTCAGCACCCTCCAGCCCCGCTGTCCCCTGGGTGTCCCCACCCCTCCGGGGTGCCCCACCAATGCACCCACCATGCACCCCAACGCCCCCAGCCCCCCCATTGTACCAGTCCCCCAATGCACCCAGCACCCCATTGCACCCAATGACCCCCCCATCGCACCCAACGAGCGCCACAGGCCCCGGGGCCCCACAATGTCCCCAAGGCTGGATCCCCGCGTTGTCCCCAACAGGGGCACCCAGCGCCGGGTCCCCACGGCATCCCCAAGGCCGTGTCTCCATGATGTCCCCAAGGAGGGCACCCATCGCTGGGTCCCCATGATGTCCCTAGGGTCGGGTCCCCGCGGTGTCCCCAGCTGGGTCCCCACAGTGTCCCCAGTGAGGGCACCCAGTGCCAGGTCCCCACGATGTCCCCAGGGTCGGGTCCCCACACTGTCCCCAGTGAGGGCACCCAGTGCCAGGTCCCCACGATGTCCCCAACGAGGGCACCCAGTGCCGTGTCCCCGCGGTGTCCCCAGGGCGCCGGCGGGTAGGTGGCACCCACCAAGGGACAAGGACACCGGTGTCATCGAGGGCGCAGCTGCGCTCCTCGGGGTTGAACATGGCGGGCACGAGGCTGAGCGAGGCGCTGGCCGAGACGATGGGGCGGCCCCTGCGGCGACAGCGGCGCTGGCACCCGGCGCCCGCGCCCGCGCCGCACCCACGGGTGCCGCTCACCTGTACACCACGGCCGTGTCCACGCCAAAGGCGCCCACGAGCAGGTCTGCGGGGACACGGGGGTCACGCGGTCATGGGGTGCCCAGGGGCATGGTTGGGTGACACCCAGTCAAGGAGCACCCATGGGGTGGGAACGGGCAGGGATGGGGGGTCCCCCATTCAAGGAGCACCCATGGGGTGCCCAGGGGTATGGTTGGGTGACACCCAGCCAAGGAGCACCCATGGGTTGGGAATGGGCAGGGATGGGTGTTCCCCAATCAAGGAGCACCCATGGGATGGGAATGGGCAGGGATGGGGGGTCCCCAATCAAGGAGCACCCATGGGATGGGAACGGGCAGGGATGGGGGGTCCCCCATTCAAGGAGCACCCATGGGGTGCCCATTGGGTGGGCAGGGTCATGGTTGGGTGACTCCCCATTAAGGAGCACCCATCGGTTGGGAATGGCCATGGATGGGGGACCCCCATCAAAGAGCACCCATGGGAGGGGAATGACCATGGTTAGGTGACCCCCCCATCAAGGAGCACCCACGGGATGGGAATGGCCATGGATGGGGGGCCCCCCATTCAAGGAGCACCCATTGGGTGCCCATTGGGTGGGCAGGGTCATGGTTGGGTGTTCTTCAATCAAGGAGCACCCATGGGGTGGAATGGCCATGAATGGGTGACCCCCAATCAAGGAGCACCCATGTCAAGGAACTCCCATGTTGAGGAGCACCCATGGGTCGGGGCGGCCGTTCCCGGATGTCTCCCCGCCAAGGAGCACCCATGGGGTGGGAATGGCCATGGTTGGGTGACCCCCCATCAAGGAGCCCCCACGCCACGGAGCCCCCACACCAAGGAGCCCCCCATGCGAGGAGCCCCCAGTCGAGGAGCACCCCTGGGTGCTCACCCGGGTAGCCGTTGCCGTCCAGGTCGCGGGCGCCGCGCAGGGCGGCGCCGAAGAAGTCGGGCGCGCGGCCGGGCGCCCAGTGGCCCCGCAGCACCTGGGAGGGCTCGGGGCGCAGCCCCCCCGGCGCCCCGTTGTACACGAACACCAGCCCCCGCAGCCCCTCGGCACCCAGGGGTGCCCCCACGGCCACGTCTGCGGGCGCCCGTCAGTGGGTGCCCCCCGGGACCCTCCCCTGCACCCCCCCCATTCACCCTCCTGCTCCCCCCCCAGCTCACCCACACTCGCCCTCAGCACCCACCATGCACCCCACAGCACCCCCCCAATGCAAACCCTGCACCCGACACAGCACCCACTGGCACCCCCCATGCACCCCCCATCCCCCCAGCATCCTCCAAG